CATTTGTTAATGAGAAAGTGAGTGTCAAAATCCCAAAGCAAACTCTGAAACTCTCCTGTGGGCAGGAAGATTGTGCCCATGCCAGTCTCCAGAATCGGATCTGGAGATGCCCCCAGCTCTGCTGCGGTTCATGCCCAGGGTGGCCTGGTCCCTTCAGCGCAGTGCTACAGAGCTTTGAGTCAGATGGCAATTTGTGGGTGCTGATTTCTCAAAAGCACTTCACCCAGTAACTATTTTCAGGATCTTACGAGGAGAAAACTTTGGCCAACTAACCAGGCAGCTGTCAGCTAGCTCTGCCTGTGCAGTCATGCTGTCCCCTGCTCCCTGGAAAAGGCACAGGGTGACCACCGCAACTCGTGGCAGAAGGTGAAGAGGAAATCCCCATGAAGGCACCTCTCCAGTTCAGCGTGTTTTCCTGATCTGTGAGCAAGTTTGCTGCTAATGCAGAAACAGCCACAGGCTTTCAGAAGAAATGATCTGTTTGCTTTAAATAACTTTTCTAGGAAAACCTGTGAAGTAGACACATGGAAGTTCCTGCATGCGTGTGTTGATCATATAGTTGGCCAACGAGAAACAAGCTCAAATATATTTTTAGGCAGGAGGGAAAGTGGGAAATCATGACTTCGTATTACAAACACAACTGCAAGACCGTGCAGCAACCAGAACAGCTTTAAAATCCTAACACAAGAATTAAAAAAAAGGGCGGGGGGGTGGAATCCAAATATTGCTGCAAAGGGCATGGGAGCGTGGGATCCAAGAGCTTTTGTTGCAAGACTTTCTGGTCTTGGTCACTTTGCATTTTGGCTCCCTACAAGCTTGTACTGTGTACTCTCCTTTTTGCGTGTTTGAACACATTCGTGGTACAAAATTCATGTTTTCTGCAGTCCCAGATACCTTAGGCATTTCACTCGAGTCGTGTCGGTTAAAATAACAATGAAGAATATCCAAGAAGTTTCTTGAGTATCAGACAATGCAAAGGCTGCCAGCAAAAAAGACTCCACAAGGACTATGTGCTAGAAATGTAATTAAAACCAGAAGTATGTAGCTGAATTCCAGAGATGGAATAAGAAATTTTTGAACACTTTCTGAAAGAGAAAGGAAAAAAAAAAAATGTTTCCAGGATCTTGATGACATTAAAATCAATCTGTCCATATTCCTCTGGATAGAGGTCTGGCAGCAATTTTGTCCTATGTTTTGAGGCTGCAGGACTCTAATAAGATCCCAGTAAATAATGTAAAAGTAGTCTGGACCTCATTTCTCAGCTTTCCTCATTCACAGTAATAGTAAACGATTAGTCTAGCCCTTGTCCTTAGAGACCTACGTAAATCCCTGCTCGTCATAATAATATCCAGCCCTGGTTGTCCGTACGGAGCTTAGCTCCCCTCACCCCCAGCTTATTAATGGAACACATGATTAAAGAGGATGTGCTGTCATGCTGGATATCAGTCTTCAGTCTCCCACACTGAAGGGAAAATTATTATAAACAACTAAACATAAGCTACTTATATGATTTCCGCCTTCACATAATATTTGTGTGACTGGGTTTGTGTTTTGACTGGAGCTGTTGTATATTCCGGTATCTGGTCCTGTTCTGGTATCTTTTTATCATTGGTGAAAGCAAGTTGTTTTAGTTGTGCTGCTCATAAAAGATTTTACAAGCCAGTCTGCGGCAGCTTTATCCTATCAGTGTATTTCCTACAAGAAATTAGACGTGCAGGCAACCCTATGTGGCGATTTCAAAATGGTCACGGTCCCGTAACGCATCATGAACAGCAAAAATACCCCACACTACAAACTTGGAGCACCTGTATAGGCTCACAAATGTCTGATTTTGCTACATGATCGCACACCACACTTTAATGAATGAATAATCTTGATTGTTTATATATATATATATATAAAATCTGGATTCAGTTTCACTTAATTAGATTGTCTCCAGCTGGAGAGTGTTTGAATGAATGCCTGTGGAGTAGCAAAAAGGCTACCCAGCGGCCTTATATAAACAGTGAACTCATACAGGCATAAAGCTTGGTCTGCCCTTATTTAGTATTTTGCTGCTTTCTGGTCTGTGGTTGGGATTCCTGCAGGGAAAACGATATTCATCCATTTTGATGGGGAAGCATGAATAGTTTTGGGCTGGAACAATCCCATGGATCTCCCTAAATTAATTGCTTCCCTGTTGGCTCTACCTAGGCTGGCTTTGGTGTGAGAACTAGGCTCTGGTTCTGTTATGCGTGTCTGATAATTTCCCCTCACATCTTTAAATGCTTTCTTCTTCATTTTTGAGTTAAAGTTCATTTAAAAAGTAGCAACAGTGTAACTAGCATTGCAAAGAAGAAAAATCTCTTAGTTCACGTAAGGAAATATATAATTTTGCATTATTTTAATTTTAAAACTTGTAAATGCTTATATTTTTCATAATCTCTCTTCTCTATGAGAAATAAGTACATAGGGAAAATAATGTAAAATGGTAAGAAATGAATAAGTAAGGACAGAAACAGATTTTAAAAGTTGGGTGAAAGTTAGTATTGACAAAATGTGTAAGTGGAAATTTTATGGTTCAAAGTACATGAAATTTAAGACTTTATGTGACAAAGAGGACATGTGCGTTGCTGTATATGGTCCTTGGTGTCCTCCCTTTCCTTCTTAGTAGCTCAACTGTGAGTGCTTTCCTTAGCTGTAGACTGAAAGCCTTGCAACCCATGGCATCTGGCAGGGGATGTGCGCTCATAATGAGCAAAACTTGTAGTCATTTGGGTCAAACTCTGTTGGGAGTATTTTTTTTTTCCTAGTATTCCTTTTTTTTTTGCAAAATAAGCTTTTATTGTCTCTGTTTGAAAGTGGAACATGTGTTTCCTTAGTTGATCTTGTGCAGGCATTGGCTCATCTTGGTGGCAGAGACAGTTCCTTTCTCCTTGCTTTGCCATGCCCAGTTTTGCTTGACCAGTAAGATGAAATCCCTTACCAAAAACAGAACAAAGAGAAGAGCTCAACATAAAGCATGTGGCTGTATCATAATTTCTAGTAAATATTGTTCTGAACCACCAAGTACTTGATCTTGTGATGTGTTACTTCATGACCAGCCTGAAGACTGAGCTACCATAAATTGTCATCTTTCCAGTATAAGGGGAACATCAAATCAGGCACGTGCATGCTGAGAATGAAATGATAATAGCGTCAAGCTTCCTGGAAAGATTTCGACACCAGTTACGTAAAAAGCTGCTCAAGCTAATTCATTTGGTTTAGGAAAAATATTTGCTATACAGTTGTTCCAGTTGTTAGTATTTTTCTCAGGATGATTGGCTTGATCTTTCATTATTGCCAGTCTCAGATATTAAAAATCATGCCTGAGACCTGAAAAACTGTAAATCTGAAGATTGAAAGAGGAAAATGCTTAGTGTCTGTTTTTTCTGATATCTTTATTTGTCCCCCCGCCACACACACTTTTTTCCCTCCTCTTTTTCCTCCAAACCCTCTGGGGCAAAGACTAGTTTGAGAAGGTCAATGGTGAGACCCACAGTAGAAGTTTCATCTTGGTGGTGTTGCACAGTTAGAGTAGGGTGGTAGCAAGTTTCCAGCACTATGGGAGGGTTAAGATGAGAAGAGGAAGGGAGCATTGGGAGTGAAATCCTTGCAGGCAATGGAAACTTTATCAGCTACACAGACCTTAAAGTTGGAAATATATGAAGGATTTAAGATGAGGTAGAGCCTTCCCTTGAGTGCAAGGGTGCATCTGGGAGGGGAGATGTCTGCAATAGCAAGAAATGGCTTTGGGATCTCAGGGTGTAATGGTACCCAACCCTTGTCTGTCGCACTATTAGATAAGGAAATACGTTATGATGCTTTTCTCAGAATGAGTCAAATGCTGTAATTTTCCTTCAGCCACTCTTCCTGGGAATTTGCAAGGACGGTAGATGTTGCTTCCAGTTGTTTATCACACCAGAGGTTTCCCAGAGGGGTAGGCAGGGTGTTGGCCCGTGTCAGATAATGTTTTCTGCAACAGCCAAGTGACGCAGAGAGATGACTCCCCCAACAACACTCTGTTTCTAAACTTGTGCTGTTTACTAAAGAGTCCAAAAGCAAATGTAGGAATCTGTAAAGTGGCACCTTCACCAGCAGTGTGAGAAACAGAAAATGCTATATTTCAAAGAAAAAGGAATGCAACGGGGTACTCTCTTTTTTCAAATTAGATAAGAGGTAGGATGGGACACCGTTTCCTTGGGAGGGCCATTTGACATAAAACCGTATTTTGAGAGAAGAGAAGCAGAAACAAGGTCCTGCTTCCCTGCTAACTACAGGAGGGAGTCACCATGCAGTTGGTGGCAGGATGCCAGAGTGAGTGGTGTACTGTCAGCCTCGTGTCACTGCCAGGCTCTTTTCCGTAGTTAAATTCCTTATTTCTGCTTGCTTAGACTTCTGGCGATCTCAGGGAAGTCGCATCATCTTAGTGTGCCTCTCTTCCCTATCTGTAAAGTGTTATTGTCACCACTGCCAAACAGAAGGAGAAGCTTGGAGCGAAGGCCTCTTGGCTGCTTAAAATTTCTGGAGTAGTAATCTTCAGAGTTGAAATTGTCAATGCAGGACTTTTTGTGCCAGGCTGTTTTTTTTTATTTGTTTGTTTTTCCTGGAAAATTTCCATCAGAACAATTAATTGATGTATGAGATTTTTGTGCATGGATTATGTTGTCCAGAGCAGTTGGTCTTGTCGAGCCCTCTGCTTTGGTGACTGTCCTGCTAAGAAAAGGGCCAGCTTGCTTAGCTTCAACGTGCAAAACTGTTCTGTCTTATTGGACTCATTTGTAGAAGTTTTGAGTACTTGATATTGCAATCAAAATTAACAGTTCTACTTTTGTCACTTTTCCCAGCAATCAGGAATGGTGTGTTGGGAGAGGAGAGGTGGGTCTGCATCTGTGTCAGCTTCTGGCTTTGGTGATAGCTCTTTCAGCTTGAACTTAGAGGGGATTTGGCCTCCAGGCAACTTTCTCTTCTCTCCCTTGCAGACCTTGCCCAAAGCAGAAGGGTATCCTGAGAGCTTCCTGTGTTCACCAGTATGGATGGCCACAGTAGCTTGATGACCTCTGTATTTTCATGGTTGAGCAGAAGTTTATTGTATTGTAGCCCACTGAGAGAGTTTTTTCCATTCAAATAGTCTAGCAGAGATACGGAAAGGCTTTATAATGACAACTCTACAGCCACTGAACATCAATACTTCCAAATGTGCAACATTTAAACAGTAATAGAACTCAGTAAAACTGTACATTATAATGAATAAAATTACATCTTGCATTTTGGATACAGCTTTTGCAGTTCTGATTGCAGGCACGATTTATGTCTTGGCCACCAGCAGCAAGGAGTGACGTGATGCAGATGTAGTGTAGATGTAGAGTGACCCTTGGCCGTATCCAGCTCTCACATCTGCTCTGATATGCCAATCATATCAGAATAGAAGCAGATCAGAATAGAAAGGCTCAACAGTTCTTGTTTTTATTAAACAACACAGCAATTTTCTAGTTCTTATTTCACCAGCAAAACAGAATATTTGCTTTCTTCAATTAGCTGTTAATCGGTATGTAGAAGTATGTGCACACACCTTTCTTTCATACAAGATATTTTATCTTGCTCATGTAACTGCTAATCCCGTGATACAGTAGCCCAGATGCTTGCCCTCTGAGAAGTCCTGGTGCAAGCCGTGTTGGCAAATACCTGCAGGGTTATTGCTCTGCTTAACACTACCAGTGCAGAAGTGTTTTTTACAGTCACTTGCACTTTAAAGAAGGGTTGCAAAGTTTTGCAGTTGATTAAGTAAAAAAATAAGGGTGGATTCCCTTATTACAAACAGGGGAGTCTGGGTGAAGTTGAACCAAGCATGGAGATTGTAACTGCAAATTATAAGACGAAGTGAAGCCTACTTAGCAGCTGTAACTAATTGTCTGAACAGCGGTTCTCGTTTTGCCTTTGCTCCCTTTTTTCTGCCAAGCTTGTTCCGGGATGTGACACTGAATGCACCTAACTAAGAGCAGATTCCCTGTTCCATAGTAAATAAAATTCTGAGATTTCTTGAAGCTTGGTCTTCAGCTCTTCAGCCTTGTACTGCTTCACTTCATCCCTTCAGCCTCTTAAATTTGTGTTCCCCATGTTCCAGACATTGACCTCCATGCTCTGGTAAACTGTGGTAGATCTGCAAACCACAATCCTGACAAGCATGCTCTAGAAAACCTCAGCAGCAAAATCCATTCTCTTTTGCTCAGCCACAAAAAAAAAAAAAAAAAAAAAAAAAAAAAAACCCACCTTCTTCTCTAGATTGAAATACTGTGAGTTTCTATGCAGCCTGGAAAGATTGGGTGCTCTCTTGAGATAAAGGCCTCTGCTCTGCTGTATGGCATTTTCTTATCACAGAGAGAATTTAGCCCTACAACTGAAGTTTATTTTGATTTGCAGGGTGGATGGCTTCTCCCATGTCATCAGTTACCAGTTGCTAATGTGCACTCAGCAGGGACTTGTTTCCTGGCTCAGAAGGTTGCTTGTTTCAAATTCCGAGTGGAGTGAATGAATGCACTTTCTAGTTCTGCTTTTGCCATGAAATCTTAAGAAAAGAGCAATGCTCAATTGCAGCAAGGCGAGTAGGACATGTTCAGAGACATTTGCCTGGACTGCAAGTGTGTAGGTGCTTCCTATTGATTTCTGTGTGCTCAGGCAGCAGAAGGTGGGATTTTCATGAGCAGTTGCATGTCTTAAATATATCTCCATAGCTTTCAGTGGGGCTTTTACAAGAAAACAATTTGGGGTAGAAATTTTGATGAACTAAAGTAGCTTTTGGAGCAAGAGTCCTCCTTTCAAAAGTGGCCGTGGCACTTCGGTACCTGGATCCCACTGGCTTTTGGAAAGTTCTGGGAACAAGTGTTCAAGCTGCATCTAAGATGAGATTTGACCTTCTGCATCACTAAGACTTTATGTAACCAAGGGATGTGCATCAATCCCTGAGTTTATTAGAGCAGCTGATTTGTGTTAACCCACCTGAAAGAGTGGCTGCTATTTGAACAACAGCCTCCTACCTCACTGTGAGCCATAGGTTCCTTGGAGTCAGGTAGGGAGCTTTTGCAGTTGTCCCACGCTTCCTTTTGTTGCTGCTGGCTTTGTATTTCATGGGCTTTTTTTTCTGGGGCAAGGGAAAGATATAATAAGAAGAGATGGAAAGCAAGTCGCACTCTGAAACTCCCCAAATAGCGCGCTTGTCCATGGTGTATGCTGTTAATTGGTTGGTTAATTGGTTGACTGGAGGGCTTTAGGGCAAGAAGTGTCACGTCCTGGAGGTGTGTGTGGACCTCCCCTGGTGCCTGCCACCAGAGGCATTCAGAAGAATGGGCAGTTATTGCTCATTGCTTGGTGACTCTCCACGGACAACATGCTTGCTACCCAATATGAGCAGATAGCACGTTGGAGCTGTCCTGGTGCCTTTTCTGGGGTGATATTGCTGCATGTTATGTTAGTTGTCCGTCCTCAAAGAGCCAGTGATGGTTATGGACTTGCCATAGGTTAGAAAGTAAATATTATTATAAGGCATTCTATACTAGAGAGAAATAGTTTACTATTTCATCATCCCATCTCCTAGTGAAAACACTCTCTAAGGGGCAAGTGATGATTTCAAACTGTGAAAGTAGAATGTTTTCAATGACTTTTTGACTCTATTGATTTGGTAATTGCTTATGTGAAGGAACTTTCTAAGAGGCAGAGTTTTCAGCCAGAAGCATCTGGGGTGCCTTGCCTTTCTGGTCTATGTAATCCTGAGTGCTAGGAGCAAACCACAGCAACATTTAAATTTGCATCGAGTGTGAACCACCTGGTCACGCTGTAGAGCAAGGGCTGGGGCAGCTTTATTACTACTTGACATTCACGCTGTGTTCACATTGAATCTGAGTACCATAGTGCTAACAGTGTCAAGTGCATGTCATGGGCAAAGCCTGAGTCTAAGAACTCTGAGTCTAAGCACTGGGAGGAAGACTTGTTTTTGTAGTGTCCCAAGACCATGCAGCTCAAACTGATCTTACGCCATACTGATAATGCCATCCCCTTGGAGCATGTCCTGCTTAGGGGGCCCAGTGAATGCAGAGAAATGGTAGAGAGAAGCATCTCTTAGTTATCTTCCCTGGCCGTATCAAAGAAGTGAGATCTGTTTGCGGTCTGTAAGATCTTTATTTTGAATCAGAGACACAAAGCAGAGTGAGGACAAGGCATTTCTTTTGATGGTAATGCTTGTATAAAAACAAAACCCAAGGCTAATGACATCACTATGGAAACTTGTCTTAGTTCTTTAGACTTGCAAAGTACAGTTTACAAAATTGTTAGACCCAGCATCCCCCCTAATTGCCCTAGCCCATCCCAAATCACAATTTATTTCCAGATGGCTTCATTGCTTTGCTTTCTCCTGCAAAGCCATGAGGCTGAGACATATTCTGAGGAAAGATAGTGCAGTTCCACTCGTGCAGGTCCAGGTGGCTGGAAAGCAAGCTCATAGTTCCTTGGAAAGGCTGCTTGGTGAGGTGCAGCTGGCACCCTGTGGGGCTGCTGGGCCATCATGGAGATGGTTTCCTAGAGAGCACTCTGCTTTTGCTGAGGCCTTGGGACCTTCGTGTTGTTCACATGTTCCTTATGATCTGATGGTCCTCTTTGATGCAGCAACGCCTTGAACTGAGCAGCGCTTCAGTGCCCACCGGTTCCTTCGAGCAGGCGAATGGTGTGCAGCTCCAGCCTCAGCTCGTGTTTCCCGCTCCCCTGCCACCATATCAGCCTGGATTCTGATTTGTGCTGGACACCGAGGCAGTGCTTGCGGGGGACGAGTAGTAGGAGGGGTGTTCAGCCCATCCCTGCTTCATGCCAGGTCTTCTCTGCCCTGCCCTGATTGCACCCCTGGCTACACAGACAAATAGAGAAAAAATAACCAGGAACAGAGTTCCGACCCTCCACGCTCTACTTTGTCCCATACCTGCCTTTGCCATACGTGTCCTTCTCTCCCTATTCCTTCTCTGCAATATCTGCTTATATATTGCCCATATGGCAACATCTATTGCATTTCTGGACTACTCAGCAAGCGTTGGGACACGCTGATGTGGAATTTCCCTTGCTGGTGGCACAGAGTGGCCAAAGCCATAGCAGGAGGTGAGGAGCTTTTCTTCTGTCGCAGACCGTCTCTGAACTGTTTTGTCCCTGTGCGTTGGACATATTGCTTCCCAGGCTGCTATGCAGGAATGGTATAGAACAAATAGAACAACTTAGCTTTACATAGCACCTTTTGTTAGAAGGGACCCCGAGGTACTGACATGCACCCAGCTCCAAAACACAACCAACTATGCAGCAGAACTCTTCCCAGCTCAGGGTGAATCGAATATAACTTTTATTTTTATTTTTTTCCCAGGATCTTAGGGTCATCTCTGATAAAGTCTTAATGTCTTTTCCTTCAAGAAGTAATTTTCTCTCCTATCTCGTGACATCTATTGTTTTGATATCTATTTTGATATCTATTGTTACCAAAGTTTTCTCTTTGCTTAGTGCATTTTAGTCTCTCATTGCAAGATACCAACCCGACTATGAATTTCATACAAAGAGAAATCACAAACTCTTCTGCCATGATGAGAAGTGCCCTAAAGTTTGCTGGAGAGAGTGAGGAAGGAACCCACCCAGAGCAGAATCCTGCTACATTTTATACAGCCCCCAGTAAGTCAGATTCTCAGCCAGAATATACTTGACTGTAAAATTAATCTGACAGTACAGCCTATCTCCCTTCTGCAGGGAGAACGGTCTCCCGAAATTTATAGTAGCCTTATTGTCCCCACTGTTTGGTCCCACAACCTTGCCGAGAAGGATGCCTGGCATTTTGTTCAGTGCCAGGCTGAAAGACTCATTCATCACACTTTTGCGGAAGATCTGAGCGTAGATGAAGTAGTTGCCGCTCTCCATGATTATCACCATGTCAGATTGCTTCTCCACAAATCCATCGCAGTGTGTCAAATTCCAGTTCCACGTCAGGATACCTTCAGCGTTAAGGGTAGAGTTCACTGGGGAAAATGGACAAAAAGAGTACGGTGAGAAACTGTACTTATTTTCTAAGAGCTTTTCCATGGTGCAACTCTCTTGACTACATTCCTGGAATGTTTTGTCAGCTTATTCTTGTGGTTACAATTGAGATTTTCTTAGAACTCAGAAGCGTTAGGAAGGTGTCTGAATCTTAAGTGCTAATAGAGGCTTTGAAGGACCAACAGGGCCTACAGGTGGCTTGGAGAGGTTTGCTGTACAGACAGGTTAGCTGCCAAATGCGGCCCGAGGAAGAAGAGCTTTTAAGGCTGAGGATCAGGTCTGAACTGAGCTCTAGCAGGAAGTAATTCATGAGCAGAACTTCAGCTGGTCTGAGAATGATGAAGGTGGTTACCGAAACCCTCCCCTTGCTAGCTGCTGTGGCTGTAGTCCTTCATGAGAGCTGATCCTGTGGGATCTCCCCAGGCTTTTGCCCTCCCCACAAAGGGTGAACACAGACTATCAGTGTCCAAGCTAGTAGGGTTGTCACAGCTCCTGCTGTGTGCACAAGGAACTGGATAAGGAGATACCCCATACCCCACTGCTGGCCAACACCTTGAGTTACCAAACACCACGGTGTCCTATCCTTGCATGGGTCCTGCACAGTTAGCAGTCATTACATGAAGTTTTATGTAAGCAGAAGTATTTCATTGATTGGATTAAACCTCTGCGCTTCAAATTTGGCATGTTGGATGTTACCCTAAGCTGCTTCACGCTGAACTAACACTTGGGAGAAGGGATGGCTTTTTTTTCAAGAATTTGGTGCACAAGCCACTGCAAGGCAATAGGTTTGACCCTTCTGGCCTGAGAGATGGTCGCTGGCTGACAGCCTCAGGTCCATAGCTAAGGAATCCCTGTCCTAGCCACAGGTCTCTATGGGCTCTGCATTTCTGTGCCCAGAATTTCTGCCTGTCTATAGACAAGCTAGGCATGAGGACTACACTGCTGGGTTGCAGTCATCTTTATCACAGTGCGAGTCTAACAAAAGTCATACAGCAGTTTTAGTGTGTCAATACTTACAAGAGCCGTGGGCCCAGCACGTCCCTGTTGCCTGTGGAAAGAAGCAGAGCTTGGTCATTTCCTGCTGAAACTTCTCGGTCATCAAGGTGCTCAGCAGAGGAGCACCAAGAACCTTCTTCCAGGAAGGGAAGGAAACCTTTTAGCCATAATTCAAATGATGGCTGCTTTAAAATATGACCTACTATGAAAAAGCAACAGTGCAAACTTTTAAATGCTTAAAATATAGCAATGTTCTTATACGTTCTTATTCTTAATACCTGCTCTGGTGGCATTTCCACAAAATAAAAAGACAACCATCAGCATTGCGTAGTGGAAGACCTCCTGTGTATCAAGACTGCTCAGCAGGATTTTGTTTCCGTTCCTGGATTCAACTGTCATAGACTGCCACAAGTATTGTCCCTCTGGAGATAAGGCTCAGCTTTAAGTTGGTTACTGGCTCAGTTTGTGCTAGAGCAGCCCGGGCGCATGGTGTCACTCTTCTTGTTGACACTTGCTGCTTTTTTGGGGTCACTCTGGGCCTCTGAACCAGCTACGCAGAGAGGCAGAAGGACACATGGAGCGCTCAGGGGTTTTCCCAAGGTTACACCTGATATTGTTAGCAGAACTGGGTTGCTAGCTTCATGCTTTATAGCCCATTTCTCTTTAACCACTAAACCACGCTTAGACCTTTGGGCACTCAAGGTGTCACCCACAGGAATTTCTGCTCCCAAACTGAGTGCTGCTGTCTAGCACCCTCTCAGCCCAGGGAAGGAGGGGGCTTCATGGAAGCCCAGGTTATGAATTATCAATTTTGGTATATTGCCCTAAGTCATAACTCCATATTTGCTTATGGAAATCATGCTCCCCTAGCACAGTGAGTTCGCTGGCTGTCCCAAGCCCAAAAAGAAATCTAGGATCAGATGTACAGGTGTAGACACCTGGTTCCCTCTCACATCCAGTAGGTTGCTAGCCCTGAAATGTCTGAATCACCATGAAATTATGCCCCTTCTTGGGAAGCTGCTGCCCTGCATGCTGAGGATGTTGAGAATCCCTAGCAGGGAATGGTTTTCATTGCCTGGCCTTCCCTAATTGCACCTAAGGGACTAATGGCAGTTCTTTCACTTACTAAGAAAGCTATTTTTCTACAATATGGGGAAAAAAATGAAGAGGGAAAGGCGTGGAACATGGATAAGTGCTGTGGGCATCTCTGTACTCATCAGCATTTGATCTGTCATCGGAGGAGTGCAATTGCAGTCCCAGGTTGCTAAGTTTCTGCTTCATAGTCCTGGTACAGACGGGAAAGGGTTGGTTGGGCACAGGGCATGTCTAAAAGTAGTAAAGCAGTTTTAAAAACATGTTTTTAACTCTTTACTACGTGATAGGGCTGCCAGGTATAGAACAGGCTACTCTGTTCATATTTTATAAAAACAAATAGTAGGATTGTTCCTTAGGAGGTGTCTGTGGTGCCATCATGCCACGAAGATCTGTAAGCCCCTGAGAGCAAGTTGTCCTCTCTCTTCACCAAAGGGGACTTTTTCCTTTCTTCCTTTCTTCCATTAAACAGAAATTAAAAGAGCTACGGGACATGCAAACTGGCATCCTAGCCTAGCCTAACCTAGCTAGCACCTAGATCCTTCAGGAGATAATTCGGCCTCGAAGCGGCAAAGCGAAACCCCAGGCTTCGGCAAATGAAGCTCTTGGCCGATGCCTGTGTTTCTGACTCTTGTTGTACATAAAGATACAGAAAAAAAAAATTGAAAGCAGCTAATTAAATGCAGAAGACCACTTGATGATTGCTATTTGGGCTCACTCCATGAATATTTCATAAAATCAAGAGTGAGCAGGCTTAGTGCTGGCTGAAATGATGGGCTGCTGAGCCCTGGCACTCCTTACAGAGCATCAGCACTTGTTCATGCTGCACTGGGACAGCTAACATCATTGGTACAGAAGAGGCAACAAAAGAGAACGGAACAAAAGCTGGTATCGTATAGGAATTAAACCAAAGACATTTCCCCAGTGTGGAAATGCCCTCAGCCAAAACCTTTGACATTAAAAGCATTGGCGGTCGCGAAAGAGAAAGAACTATGAGTTTGCTCATAGTGTAAACGCAGCAGGATTCATCACGAGAATTAGTGTGTTCCGCACACTCTAGATGTAGAAATGTTGCTTTGTCCTTACCTGCTTATGATGGAGCACACAGAGGACTACAGGAACCAGAGCAAAACTCACAGTCAAGAGAAATGGTAAGGCATAGAAAGCCACTTGACAGCAAGAGAACTTCCTTTTCTGTGGAATATTTCCCTTTGCTGTCACGTTTGGGTCTTCCATGATGCTTGTCCTTGAGAGAGCCAGAGGTGAAGAAGCAAACAGCCCGATGGAAACAAAGGCACTGCTAGAATTCCTCAGCTCCTGGTTATTAAAACAGAGCATGGAGAGAATTATGGGCTGGAGGTGTCCCCATGCTAATAGACTCAAGAGGAGGAGCCATGGTGATTCATCCGTGTGGGGACTAGCGAGCTGAGGTAGCATTTCCTTCTGATACTATGGGACGGATTCTTTTGGCTTCCCGCCCAGAATGCCCAAGCCTAAATTCAGACAGTGAGCACTCCGCAGAAGCGTGGAAAGACACTCCAGGCTTCGTCATGCTTGGAGCCAATTTCACAAACCGCTCCTTAAGCACAAAGCAAGAGAACAAGACACTAGACACCGACGTTTCCGAAGGCTGCATATGACATTCTTGTGTCTCCAGAGGCAACTGAGTTTTCCACGGTGAAAGGATTGTGACTGGGTTAAACCTGCTTCTCATTTTGGTGCTGGGCAGCCGAGTCTTGGTGGCAGGAGAACTTCTTTTTTGCAGTTTCCCAAGTACATGATTCACGCAGTAAAAGTGAAACTACTTGAGGATCTAACTCAGAAGCCGGTGCTGCGGTGCGAGCTGCGAGCGTGGCTCCGGGGCAAAGGGAAAGCTGCGTGTGCAACTACTGGGTCAAGCTGCTGAGTTTGAAACGAGCCAGTTTGTTGTCAAAGCCGTCATCAAACAGGTTTATACTTTTGCCACTTCCAGTATTTCTTACTTTTAAAATTCCTGAGCAAAGAAGGGAAAAAAAGAAAAAAGAAAGCCCAACATGAAAATAAATTGTTTACCTTAGAAATAGCTCTTCTTCTTAGATCTTGCAAGATCTTTTCGATTTTAACAAGAAAAAGTATTTTTGATTGATGTTTATTTAAAAATTTTCCAGTACACAAAGACATCACTTATAGATCTATGCCAGCTTCACTAATGCATTGAGTGTGTGGAAAATGTCCTATATACAGCCTAGCAATAGAGAGACTATATATATATATATACACACATATGCTTATATATATACACAATACCTTTGCCTTTTGCTCTTCTCCTTTTCTTTCCAACTTGTAGAATAAGCCTTACATTTTCTAATGGCATGGAACAAAACTTAGCTAGATATCTCAATATTGCATGGAGCTGGAATAGGAATATAAAGTAGCAAGGAGTGGAAGAGTCTAAGAAAAACCCTGCCAGCTGCTGTGTTAATACTCTGCTTTGTCTCCTGCAGTCTCACTTAGCAATATAACTGGGTTTTTAGCTTGTTTTTCATTCAGGGTGAGGGAAACCTGATGGTGCTGCCTCTAACCAACAGACTTGGGAGGTCCTTGCCATGTTTCTGAATATATTCACAGCAGAGGGTATGGGTGTACAATATACATCTGTATACATGTATATTTTTTTTAATAAGTTGAAATACTGTGGGTACAAAATAATCCCTGAGGACCATCCTTTGTCTGTTGTTCATCATCACTGTGTCGGTAGGTTTGGTGTGTCTCTGTGCAGGAGTTGGATGGGGTTTCAGCCCCCTGACGTGCAGCCTAACCGTGGGGCTGAGGCACTAGCTAGGAGAAAAGGACCAAGAGAGGTGCATCGTTGAAGCTATTTATGTTATTTGGCTTCCTCTGTATCAAAGAAGCTTTTTGGCAAGCAAAACTGATTCCTCTTACGACTAGCTTAGCAGCCATGTATTTTCAGCTGAGCGAATGAAAGCAAAATACAACTTCCATTTCTTTCCATGCAGGAGAACCCTTCCTTAGCAAGATCTCTCCAAAGGCGCTGCTGGGTAGCTCTGATTTGCAGACACAATGTAAATGAGCCCTCTTTCCTTGCAGGAAGGCCGGGCCTGGAAGGGGGACAGCAGGGAGGCAGCCAGGGCAGTGCCGTGGGTATCTCCGGGCACACTTTGGGGCAATCCCCAGCGTTTCCTCCTGGTGACCTCGCACAGGCTGCGTGCCCGAGGGGAGACACTGTACAGGTGATACCTGCGAGCTGGTACAGTTTCCACAGGGTCCTTCCTAGCCGGAGTAAATAAGGACTGGGATGACATCAGCTGAGAGCAGCTGTTCACCTTTAGTTTCTGTAACATGAGCTCGGCGGTGCTGAGGGGTCAGTGGGAATGGCCATCCCTGCGCCAGCTGTTTCTGGTCTTTCCCAGACAAACAAATCTTGGGAGCCGTGCCCGGGAGAGCAGCTGGCAGCAGGACTGGCCCTCCGAAACCGACCCAGCGCAGCCGTCCTGCCACAATGGCAATGCAGTGCAATGGTAAAGAGGTGCCAGGGGCTGCAAATGGGCACCTACAGTGTGGGTGGTGTTAGGGCAGGCAGCCTGCATACTCCAAGATGCAGTGTTTAGAAACCCGGCTTTGACCCCAAACCATTGCCAGCCTGGAGATCCTGCAACCCTGGCGACACTGAGGTCACCACTTGCTTTTGGGTTTGACCCCCCAAAAATAGACCAAAACAAGCTTCATTTTAAAACATGCCAAAGAGACTTCCTGTGACATCCCATGGAGGACAGAGGCAGCAGAGGTTCAGGCCTCCATGAGAGCAGGAGTTGAGCAACCAGGGGAAATCTGTTTGCTCTCCTTGAGCAATAGCAGCTTGTACTCACTCCCTGAATTATCCACCATGCCAGCATTAAAAATGGTCATGTGTAATAGAAAGTCGTCCCAGGAATCTGAGAAGACATTAAAAAAATATACATCACAGCAGCAGAAAATAAGATTCGGATTTGATCTTAAACCATTACAGCTCTATTTTCCAGATTTGCAGCTTGGCTGGAGCCTGCGCGGACTGTGAGGACCAGGTGCTACAGCTCCCTGCAGAGCATAGGCAGCAACCTTGAAGAAAGATCGGTCCTTCAAGGATCCTGGAAGGGACACGGGCACTTGTGATCCTGCCAGGGATCACTCTGGAGAAAGATGTCTGGGCTTGATGCGAGAGCTACAGGCTGCGCCGAATTCGTGACATTCTTACCCAAGTATTCTCTTGCAAAACTTCTTACAGCATTCAAGATTTGCATCTTATGCACTGGATGCCTTCACTTTCCATAAATTTCCTGTTAAATCTTGTTAAATCCAGCCTCTGCTAAGTTAATGAGCAGTAGGATGCAAATGGTGACTTCTTCAGCAGTCCTTTCCAGGCTGCATGATAAATGGGACCCTAGAGGGGAAGTTGCTGTGTGTAGTTGTTGACCCATGGCTGGAGTCCTAATCTTTTAAAACTAGCATTTTAGGGAAACTGAGCACAAGCTGGTGACCTGAGGACATCTTCTCTGGATGGTCCTGCAGGAAATGGGAGGGATGGGAAGAGAGGACCAGCCCAACTCCCACCCAGCATCCACAGCAGCATCTCTTCCTTCCAGGAGACCAGCTTACACAGATGGATGGTGTTTCTTCGGAAATGTGCAAAAAAGTGCTCCATTGCGGTGACAGATCAGCAACCCCTACCATAGAAGAAGGCTCAGAGGAGGTGGACAAAGGGTGAGATGCCCCTGGAGCTCGGAAATCGTGTAGGATGTAACTTATTAGTCACATCTATAGTGTAGAGAATGGACTTTATTGTAACACATAGGGTACCAGAGGATGACCTCTGTGTCGGATAAGCAGATGTATCTGTTGAATGGATTAACTGGTGGATGACTTTTCTTCCTGAGTTGATCAGATGAACATAAGTGGTTTCCTAAATTTAGCCAGTCCAAGATGAGCCAAGTTTATATGTGGCTGAGCCCAACCCAGGATGTAAAACTGAACAACTAATGGAGGAATTTTGAAGGTGGTGGTGTGTGAGAGCAGGCTTCAACCCACGTATTGCTTCCTGGCCATGGGGCATTCCGAACATTGTGGTGGTGAGCATGTTGTAGAGACCAGTGATGACCTCACACGCTTATCGTGATAGACCTACCTGCATATGGGCATTCCCTGTTCTTGTGATTTCAGTACACTGCAGAATCATGCTGCTAAATCAAGCATCCCATGTAACACGAAGTATCTTAATATAAAAATAAACTCCAGAGAAGGCATGGAGAAAGGGATGGTGGTTCCCACTGCTGTTTTGCGTGAAGGGAGACATTTTGCATCTCCCTGCTGCAATGTGAGCAAGGTGGGCATGTCTTGGCCATCCTGGCTCCTAGGCTCCTGTGGAGACCTGGAGTGTGTCCCCAGTTGCTGACACTGGAATAGATGACAAAATTTGCAAGGGACAACACATCAGGATGGTGGAAAAGAGAGGAGAAAGCATTTTGTTTGCCTCAGAGGTGCCCCATTTCTTCGTGCAAGGGAATGAACTGCTGCAATCCCTGGGCTTCGCGTCACCTGTCACTTGTTTTCTCTCCCATCATTTCTTTCCACTCATTCTAGTTGTGGAGCACCAAGTGGGCCAGCCTGCAAAACAGGGCACCCAGTCTGCAGGGAGCCTTCTGCTCCTGCACACATCATCCCTCTGCACTACGTGCCCTTTGCTTTCGCTCTCTGTGAGTCTCAGCGCTGTAATCTTAGTGTTAACCTTCACTTCCTCTTTGTCTTCCTTAATCATCAACTGTGTAGGATGGTGTTGTCATATGTAAACACAACTGCCGATTTGTCCCCTACCCTCCTCCTCCTTTCCTTGTGCAAACTTTCCTCTGCTTATCCTCTCCAAATGGTTTTCCATTTTGCATTTTCCATTTGCATCCTTTAGCTCTATAAGAGCCAGACCTGAAGCTGGGTGCTCCACTGAAGTCAACTGTAGAAAGGGAGTCCATGCTCTGCGTGTCATCCATAGCCACATCAGTCTCCCTGCTCTCACCGTGGTCTGGGTTAAGCCTTCCTACCTGTCTTGCTGCTCCGACTCCCAGGTTTTAATCTCCAGGCTCCATCTGGGAGCATTAGGGTTTTCCCATGGATCATG